TGGGAATAGTTCACAACAGAATTGAAAAAAGTAATAGGTTAAAAATCAAGTGTTGTCTGGACAGCAGGGCAGGATATGTGAAGTTTTGGCTGTGTCTTTTCCTTTACCCAGCTGGTTCAAAACCATCAGTCTCATTATTTTAGTCAAGTTACCTACTGGATTATTTTTATTCTTAATGATTAAATGGTTGTAATGTACTGGTCTGACTAAGACAAAACTAGCGGACAAGCAGCAGGGCTCCAATTCCGTGTTAGATGTCGCGGGGGTCCCGGAGCTCCCCGTCTCCCCAGCACAGAGCTGGGCAGAGGCCAGTGTGAGACCCGGCTGCTGTTGGCGCTGCAGAGCGGGGACGCGTTTGCCGCGTGTAACTGCTGCTCTCCGTGGCAGCGTGTGCTTGATCCTCTAGTTTGCATTATGACTAATTAATTTTATTAAGTCAGTACACCGCAGGAGATTCCTTACCGAAAGAATGCGTATTCATCGGTGAACCACCATAGGGAATGTAATGCAGAATTGGAGGTAGTTCCCATAGGAATGGTAGCCTTGCGGGGTGTCGTGTGGGACAGAGGTGGGTAAAACCTGAATGAAATTCCACACAGCAGTCACTTTTGTCATATCATTTGAAGTTGTATTTATTGACCTAGAATGTAGAACTATGCTCTGGTGAACGCTGTAATATGTTTAGCTTTATAAAGCTGATATTTTTTTTTTGTATTTATTGACCTAGAATGTAGAACCATGCTCTGGTGAACACTGTAATATGTTTAGCTTTATAAATAATATGTTTAGCTTTATAAAGCTGATTTTTTTGGGGGGTCTGTTTCTGTTTAGGAAGATGTACAAAGGTGAGCGTTCACCACGTCTATATGAAGTAACGCGCTCTCCTCACCAAGGCCCCCACACTAACCAGCTGGCTGTGGGTGCAGGAGGGCAGCACAGGTGACATACTAGGCACAGCAGGTGAGTGTTAGTCTTTCAAACTACTCAGGTGTTTGCTATATCGAGAGCTTGTTTGGAGTTTTGATGTTGCCCAGGAGGCCAAGTGTTGGGCATTTGCCCCACCTGTGGTGGTGTTGGAGGCCCATCTGAAGCTGCTGTTCCTCAGTATCAGCGACCTCCTGCCTTGCTGTTACTGCTCAAGCCTCTTGCAGGGTGAGGAGGACAAGGCTGTTAGGGAGTGTTGGTGCCAAAAAGGACAGGTGAGGGACTGCTGAAGCCTTTCACTTATGTTACAAAAGGCTAATATCATTGCAGATGCAAGGAAAGAGTAGCTGGGGAAGTTTCAGAGCGTGCTGAAGGCAGCTGACTGGCACTTTCTGATACTTAGAAAATCTATCTGTGTATTTTGGAGCACTTGCAATTGGGAAATGAGTGTTGGCTTCCAGTAAGGGGCTGAAAACTGCCCTGTTTAGATAAAAGCAGTGCCTTGGTGATTTTGAGGCCACAGCTCTCCTTTTCCCTGGAAGCATGTTGCTGATGCTGACGAGCAAGAACGTGTCCCAGGTAAGTGTCTTTCCCAGCCCAGTGCATCTTGCCCAATATCACAACAGTGTTTCAAGTGAATTAAAATGAGGGGAGAGAGGAGATGGAAAAAAGGAGCTGTTCCAATTGTATGAGATAGGGCAAGGGATGCCAGTTAAGAAAGGAGTTTTAAGCAGAAACGCTGCTCATTTGGTGCAAATGTGCAGACCTGGGTTGTTTTAAGAGCTCTGCGGAAAGCTCAGCCCTTCCCAGCAAGGCTGAGCATCTGCCTTGCAAAGTGAATACCTTAATAAATTGTGGCTTTTGTTTACTTTGCAAGGACTGTTTCATATTCATTTCTGCAGTGTTCATCTCTGTTTTCATAAAATCTTTGTAAATGATTAAAAAATAAGGGAAGCGAAGATGCAGAGAACAGCCAGTTAACCTCCAGGTGGTTAGTGGATAACCCACAGTCTGTAGCAATCACGGTAGCCTGTAGAGTGCCTAGGCAGACACCAGTGAGCTCTAGAGTTGTGTTCTGTGGGATTTCTTTCTCCTACCAGGCAGGTTGTCCTTCCCTCTGTTATTTCTCCTCAGCTCCATCTTGCCCTGTATTTTCACCTCTACTGTCTTACCCTAGGCCACTTTTCAGTATTCAGATATATACATTTTCAGTATGTTTCTATCAGAAGATGATACTATTGTTTTTAACTTAGGTTTAGTGTTGGAACAACCTAAGCCAGGTTTGTCTGCAGTTTATGCGTATATCTCAGCTGATTTTTTCCGAATGGTATGTGCCTGGCATAGCCATATTGTGAGTAATCTTTGCTTTTTCTTCCTAAAGAAAAGGCTAACTAGGAAATAAAGAGGGAGAGTTTAGGAATAAAAATCATTAGGAAAAACATGTCCTTGCTCCATACAATTTTGAGCATATGAAGGAAGATGCACATGAGGCAGCTGTGATTAGTTCTCTAATATGCTAATATTAAATCATCAAGTATTTACTATCTTGATTGATGAAGAGAGGGGAAATGGTCATGAATCAGCAGGGTAACGGTGTGAGCAGTCATGTTCATGTTACAATGTTTATAGGAAAGTTCCTTTGTGAACAAGGGCAAGTTTACTGTGTTTGAATGCAGGACAATGCTGCTGGTACAATGTAAATTCTTCACAGCACAGTAAAACATGATGGTGCTCACATCAAATTGTATGGCATTCCCATTAATAATGTCTATTTAAGATAGCCATTAAATGTTAATTAACAGGACTATGCCAATAAATTTATATTAGCTTCCCACTATTAATTTAATATTATAGGCATTTAGCAGATGTCTTAATTAGTTGCTACATGGGAGACTATGTGCAAAATTAAACTAGGTCACTGTCCTGAAAGAAAGTTTGCAGCAGGACTTTCTACTCTGTTTTTCTTTCTGGACTCTCACAAGAAACTGAAGGATTTAATTTAAAATAACTTTGAGAGGAATAATAATGTACCTTAATAATAAATAATATACCTTAAATTGAACAGCTTTCATGTATCTTGTTAATATAGATATGCATTTGCTGGAAAAGCTTGCAGCCTTCAGCACTTTCAAATGGTTTATCTGTGTTGGTAACAGCTTTTCCAGCACCTAGTTCTCCTATCTTTCTGTTGCTATGAAATGGCTCCTTTTTTTTCCTGCTGTATAAAACAGGCAATTCTTCCTCTCATGTCAAGGACAGTTCTTCACCCAATTGCAACAAATGTTTATTTCTGCACCAGCTACTTTACCTGATGACTTTACAGGGAATAGAGCACCAGTCCTTGCTTTCTGGAAAGCAGCACCCCCTGTGCTGTGGCTGCAGCTGCTCAGAGAGGCTCAGGGGAAGGAGCAGGGCTCCCCTTACAACTGCTGCCACAGACTCTCTAAAAGGCAAATACTTAAAGACAGTTTAAGTTGTGGGAGCTTCTGCACAAGCAGGGCTGTTATGTAAGGGTTGGTGAGCTGAGGGGGGCTTTTGGTAGCTAAAAGCAGGATCTCTTGTGTTGCAGAGATGTAGTGCTCACAAGGGTTATAAACTAGATGCCATCCAGCTAGCTATTTTTCCTTTGATTTTTGTATGCAATCTTTTGCAGGATTTCTTTTTTAATGCAGAACATAGACATCATGTCTAAAGATGTGTAAAACAGGACTCCACTAAAGCTAGGTAGAAAGGTTAAATATTCATAAAGCAATTTTTTTTTGCTTATTAGGAAGTATAAGATAGAGGATTGGTTAAACACTGATTTTTCTAAACTTCAGTATTAAAAGGAAAATACACTGGCAGATGTACCAATATAGACATTTCTGTTTTTAAGGTTAAAGTAATATGTTACTAGTAAGTGCCTGGTAAGCAAACAGCTTGTAGAGCTGCATTACAAATTCACATATTTTTAAGTCTTCCTTTGTGTAAAAAGGCAATCACTAGTTGTAGCTTATTGTATGAAAGCAGAAATTCATAATAAGATGGGCAAATACTTCATGAAATGTCAAATTGTTTTACATCTTTCTTGCTATCAATATGGAATTGTTCAAGTGAAAAAACAGGACCTGTCTTGGAACACAGCATTAATCCTAGGAAGATCTCATGCCAAATCAGAAGAGTAACAGGCTCTGCTGTGTCCAGACACCAGCTCTTCCCAGCCAAGCTGAACACCTAAATTCTCCATACGTTTTAAGAGATCTTTTTTTGAGATGGGGTAAGGAGACCATTGAAATAGGCCAAGATATTTTTTTTATTTTGTCCTCTAGAGCTTTTCTAATGTTTCAGCATTTGCTTATTTAGCTACTGAGCACTTATTGCCATGGTACTACTTATCATAACCCTGAACTTGCTTTTGTAGTAATGTTCAACTAATTTCCTATGACTTTGAAAGATTCTTGAACAGCATTTGAGTTACTTTTGTTTCAGAATAGTGAGTAATTACAAGATCAAAAAAGCAACATTTCCTGTATAAACTACTGTTCCAATTTAAAATTTTATTACAAGAGCAAGAAACTGTTATAGCAGTTTGTTTGCTCACTTGTCTGCATAACTTAACATTATTCTTCAGGGGGCAGAAGATATTCAAGGTAAAAACCTATCTGCTGATAAAACTTACTTGCAGATGCTTGTGCCACACAAAGATGTTGATGTTAATGCAAACCTGGGAATGGTGATCTTAGAGCAGTTGTCAGTCTCCTTTCAAGCATCTAAGATGCAACCCAATTTATACATAAGACAACAATAATGGAGTTGTAAGATATAATCATTTTTCATTGTGCAAATGACACTTGATTGAAACAGAAGTCAAGTAATCCACACCAATTAGAAAAGTTTAATAAGCCAGAATGTTATATACATGTAACAGAACAGATGCAACTGCAAAGCAGTCTCAAAGTGTTGCAGTTTAAGACCAAACAGATTCTAGTGATTCTTCAGTATGAAGAAATGCTTTAGAAAGAGCTTCACACATTCAGTCATTTTGTTTTCAAAATGCCAAAAAAAGGTTTTAAACTGCAGGAAAACAGTCTTAATACTTCTGCATTTCCATGAAATCATAGGTCAATAGTTCCTTTCAACTTGAACTTCTTTGCAGATCGCTCGCTTGCTCTGAACTGGAACTTGCTTCCATAGATGTAGGAAATAAATCCATCAATCTCCAAGCTAAACACATTGTTGAGTTTGGGAACAACTGAAAATTAAAAGGTGGAGAACTTAGAAGTGGATTGGTGTTAACTAAGTAACATTTTAAATTTAAATTTTAGCAAGATATGGAAAATAAACTTAAATGTTTCAGGTTTTACATGGGAATTACTCTGTTTCTGTTTGCAGGGTCATGCAGTAAGCAAGTGTCGCAGAGAACAACTTACAAGTCCGATGAATCTAAGCCAACTAAATAATGTTGGGTTCATAAGAAATCTCATCTGTCTGGCAAGATCTTGGGATCAGTAGTCACTGAATACAAAGACCTAGAAGTACTGCTACAATGTACTATTGTATTTGCTCAGATGCAAGATGCATATTGCATTTAAGAAATACTTCAGATCATTCAAAGGGTGAAAATGGCTTACATACCTTTTAGTTTGTCATCTTTGGTGATAATTTTGAAGACATGTTTCATTTCTTGTAGAATGATTCCTGTTATTCCAACATAAGAGGGACACTTTGATTTTGTTACTGCAAAAAAAACCCAAGAGTATGCATATATTAGAATATTTTCTGATTGAAGCAGTTTGCTGTTATACAGTTGCTTCATGAAGGTAGAAGTTGGTTTGTAATATATGGAATACTTAAATTTATTCTGAACAAACATTATCACAGTAATAGCTTGTAAGACTCTTAGCTCATCTTGTAACTAACAAAGTTTAAGAGCACTTGAAAAGTAGCACTGCTGAGTGGAGGAAAAGTTAGTCACCATATGATCTCTATACTTTGTAATTCTAGTATTGATGATATTAAAGGAATAAAAGTAAGCATCTGAAATATGGTAGTATCTACTGAACTTCAGATAATTTTGAAAAGGAAAAGAAACCAAATACCTGTAATGATAGCGCCATGGAGATCAGCTTTCAGCAGTTTGCCCTGAACCATCTGTGGTTGTCTTGAATGGGGTCAGAGAAGAGGGAGGAAAAAAAAAAAAACCACCAATACAGAAAGGGAGATTTACACAACATGACCATTAAAAACATGTCAAAGCTTGCAGAAACAGAATGTGTCCTTATCCAGGATACATTGTTTCAAGTAGCAGCTCAGTAAACTTTGAGGTATCTAGTGAATCAAGAACACAAATTCTAAGAATATCTCCACTTACGCATCTGGTTTAAGTCCATAACACAGGTCTCTGATATACTGTTTCCAGAGTTCATGCAGTGGTAGAAAGAGTGCGTATCTACAGTAAAAGGCAGAAATATTATTCAAGAACTTAATTTATAAGAAGGCTACTGCTTGATAACAGTATTAATGCATATTTACAGAGGTAATACAAATATTAATCATTTTATAATCTGCTTTCACAACTTTTAGGTAAACCAAAGGGAATCCATTGCAAGCAACAGGTCTGTTACTATAAGGTAGACAAACCCCAAATCTACCCCAAATAGTGATGTATTTTACAGGATTTGGATGCATCTCTTAAGGCTCAAAGTTTGTACTTGTATGCACCTCTGTCTTTTTACTAACAGTAATAGCCTTATTCATTTTGACTTAGAGGAATCTGATGCAAGTGCTTTATTCAGCCTGCATTAGCTACAGGGACTGCTGCCAAACTCTGGTTTTCTGTCTGGGCACAGGAAGTCTCATGTTCACACCTGGAATCACAGATGTTGTGTTCACAAGTCAGTTATACAAAAGGAAAGAGACCCAGCAGCAAAAAGACCCCTTTCCAAATATGCAGGCAAAGAAATTGTTCTCTTGGTGGAAAAATAACTAGTATATACTAGAGCATTTCATCCCTTGTACTTGTGATTCATCCCCTTCATCCCTATGTACTTGTGATTGCTTTTTACACTGCTTTGATGAACTTCCCTGCTTCTACTGCAGTCTTTAAGGTCATACCTTCGCTCTTCGGGCTCAATTTCAAAAAGTCGCAGTTCTCGCCTTTCCTTGGCGGTAAAACCTTTTGTTTTTTTCCTCTTCCCCTTCTTCTTTTGCTTAGAGTAATGCTCGAGGACGACAGCTTTGCGAGTCAGCATGTCCTGGATCGCTTCGTCTTTCATCTTGGGCATGCTGCGCTTCAGGAAGGTGCTCACAAAGGCCTTGGCCTCCTCGGGGCCCTGCAGCTGGCGGCAGGTACGTGGAAGGAGCTAGTGGCAGCGATGCCGAAAGCTCCCCGCGGCCGCAGGGAGGCACGAGGCGCTCGCAGCGGCGCCGTCCTCGTCTCCCACCCGGCACCTCCCCGGGCGCGGAGGTGCCGCCCGCCCGCCCCCCCCCCCCGGGGCTCCCCGGCG